GCCACTGGCCCAATCACCTCCTGGCAAATAGAGGGGGAAGATATTGAGGCAGTGACAGATTTTACTTTCGTGGGCTCCATGATCACTGCAGATGGTGACAGCAGCCACAAAATTAAAAGATGTCTGCTTCTTGGGAGGAAAGCAATGAGAAACCTAGATAGCATCTTAAAAAGCAGAGACATCACCTTGCCGACAAAGGTCCGCATAGTCAAAGCTATGGTTTTTCCAGTAGCTTTGTATGGAAGTGAGAGCTGGACCATAAAGGTGGCTGACCACTGAAGAACTGATGCTTTTGAATTGTGGTCCTGGAGGAGGCTCTTGAGAGTCCCCTGGACTCCAAGGAGAACAAACCTATCCATTCTGAAGCAAATCAACCCTGAGTGCTCACTGGAAGGACAGATCCTGAAGCTGAGGCTCCAATGCTTTGGCCATCTCATGAGAAGAGAAGACTCCCTGGAAAAGACCCTGATGTTGGGAAAGTATGAAGGCAAGAGGAGCAGGCGATGACAGAGGACGAGATGGTTGGACAGTGTCACTGAAGCTATCAACATGAATTTGAACAAACTCTGGGAGACAGTGGGAGACAGGAGGGCCTGACGTGCTGTGGTCCATGGGGTCATGAAGAGTCGGACACGACTTAATGACTACACAACAACAACATATGTATGTGCATGAGGGGAGAGAATAGAGGCAAAAAGCGTTGAGATTATAACTGTTAGTTCCCAGGGAAGAGGGACCATCTCTACAGAAGAAATGCTGTCATTATAGGCACACAAAAAGCAATGAAGGAGGTATAAAATGTCTCATCTACACCCTGGGAAGACAGTACAACTATGGTCAAAATCCTCTTGCCTACTTATGCTGAGACAATATCATCATCATAACCTTTATTGGCATAAAATGTACAGCAAACAGCAGTTTTAAATAGATGGGAGATATATACTCCGTATAAAACAGATCAAAAAGCCTCAATGCAAGCAGAATATAGCAGTACATAGTTAGTTTCAAGGTAACACCTAGCCATTGTCCATGATCTGTAACTTACTGTATACAGTACATAAAGGAATAATGAACTGCATCTAATAAAATTAGACTGGTGGATTTCTTAAAAATTGAGTTCTACGCCGTTGAATTAGTAAACTAATAAATTTGGCCATCTGTCTGGTGTAGCTTTTATTTACACATAGGAGGAGATTGTACAAGATTGCCTTCTCCACCTATTCAGTAACAAGGATCGATTCCAGGTTTGAAGAGCAAATGTCATTGTTCAATGCGCAGTAGAGAAGCATGTGCTGCAGTGACTCTGTGGACCCAGAGTTACAAGGGCAGAGCTGTGTTTCCAGAGGTTGCGAATTAAATCTACCATATAAGATATTGGATGGCTAGAGTGAAGGCCGTGTGGGCTCACTATGAGATGTAAATAACAGGCTGATTTATTGATATGTAATGGTAATTGTAGATTTAAAGGTGAGCATACTTTGCGGGCTGCCACAAAGAGTTCTTACCTTTCGATATTCAAGAATCTCTTTTGGAGCAGTCTATAAGACTGAGCAAAAGGTAGAGCACCCGGGTGGTCTAGGAAGATAGCCATGGTCTACACCTTTTGTATGAACAGTTTTACACTGGAAGATGTAAAGAATCAGACAAGACACCCCTAATTAAGGAGTCACTGGTGGCCACAAAGCATATTCTCAGCCAGTATTTAAAGTGTCTCAGCCACACTTGTATCCCCAATCTGATTAAGCCTGCCTCCAGGCATAGAGCTACATATGACACACAGCAAAGATATTATAGAGAAAAGTAGCCTGGAGTCTTTCCACTGAGGAGTTAAAGGGATCCAGCCAGATTGGTGAGCCATATAACAGCACATGTTGTCATGCCATTATGGTTTGGAAAGTTGTGTGATAAATCACATATTTTGGGTTTTGTTCTTGTGGCTTTTGTTTATTTTGGCTGCTGGCTCCTCCAATATTAGGTGAGTGACCTTCTTGAGCAGTATTCATTTTATTCTTTATTATCTCAAGCACAGAAAGTACAGTATGCTGAAGCTTTGATTTTTAAACTCTAGAATCGATTTGAAAACCTTTATCGGAAATACGTCACCTACACTGGGGGTGAAGAGCTTTTCGGTCTACCTGTGACTCAGTACCCTCAGCTCCTTGAGATAAAGAAGCAGCTCAACCTGTTACAAAAACTTTATGGCCTTTACAACAATGTCATTGAAACTGTAAATGGCTACTATGATATCCTCTGGTCTGAAGTGAACATTGAGAAGATTAATAATGAACTCCTTGAGTTTCAGAACAGGTAAGAATACACGGGTGTATTATATATCTGTTTAGCACAGGTTCCGTGACCTGTTCTCAAGAGTAAGTGAGAAGCAGCATGTATCTGGTCCACCAGACTTAGTGCTAATCTTTAGTTGCTTGAAGCAAACCTCTCAAAAGTATAGCTTCTGGCATTATTTTTATTTAAAATGTAATCCTCTGTAATCTGTCTTTCCACTGGTTTCATTTTTATCCTTTGGATTCCTGCCCCCAAATTATTGTTAACACTTCTGATAATTGCAGCACACATTCATTCTTTACTGAGAGAGAGACGAAATTTACATGTAAATGGGAATATGGTTAATAGAGGACTTCTCCAAAAACAAGCTTAACTGAGAGGTAACTTGGATTCTCCACATGTTGCTCGAGTGCAACTCTGATCATCTCTCACTGAGACTTTGTTGGCTACAGCTGAGGAAAATTGCAGTTGAGAAACTTCTGGAGTGCTGCATGTACCCCACCCTTGCTTCTGAGAGAAAACCCTCTCACACTGTGTAGACTCTTGGATTCATTTTGCCAGGGAGCAATGGGTGGGCTGCAAGAATAGCATGGAAGCTGTGATGAATTTTGTCTAGTTGCAGATACGTCTTCACTTTTGCTTATTTTTATGGGCTAAATAAACAAATCCTTAATGGTAAATTATTATGACAGTCATACACACTGCTAGATAACAATAATGATAAACGTATACCAGCTGAAGCAGTTACAATATGACTACCATGAAGGGAATGACAAAATAATAAATGAAATATTAACAAAACTGATCACTGCATAGTATTAAACAAAGGGAAAATATTGGAGCTAGGTAAGGTCAACTACAACAGCACTCAAGTAGTATAAGGGACTAGCATTCATCAAACTCATTTTGACAGGTGCCACACCCCTTTAAGGCAGGAATAAGGGGTCAAGAATTGACCCTGACCCCTTCCCCCAGAAGGGGCCATTTTGACAGGTGCCACACCCCTTTAAGGAAGGACTAAGGGGTCACCCCTTCCCCCAGAAGGGGTGGGTTTAGGGGTGATGTAAGGGGATGTGGAGGTCCCTGTGGCCCTATAGGGGTTTTCCTAGAGGCTGGGGTCCCCCATGGCCAGAGCACAGCCTCAGGATTGGCCCCCTGAAGGGAAGTGTCGCCCTCACAGCCCTGTAGGCCAATGGGAGGCGTTCGAGGGATTTGGCTAGAACTGGGGTGGCTGTAGGGCATGCCCCAGCATGCCCTTAGGTCTCCTGGGTTGGAAAGGCCACAGTGGGGATTTCGGGGCCCTTCTGATTTACAATGGTGCCTCGCATAGCGATCGCTTTGTTTAGCGATGAAATCACTTTGTGACACATTTTTTGCGATCGCAAAAGCGATCGCTTTGCAATGTTCCCTATGGGGGAAATTCACTTTGCGATGATCAGTTCCCTGCTTCGGGAACCGAGCATCGCAAAGCGATGATTTTTAACCACTGATTGGCAGTTTCAAAATGGCCGCCGGGTAAACAAAATGGCCACCCATTGTTTTCTGGGACAGATTCCTCGCTTACCAGGCAGCCAAAATGGCCACGCTATGGAGGATCTTCGCTGAACGGTGAGTTTCCAGCCCATAGGAATGCATTGAAGGGGTTTCAATGCATTTTTATGGGCTTTTTTATTTCGCATTGCGATGTTTTCGTTCTGCAGCAATTTTTGTGCAACGAATTAACGTCGCAATGCTAGGCATCACTGTACTGTAACAATAATTAAATAATTATACCTTCAAAATAGGAGACAATTTTAAAGCAATGGTTAAAGAAAATAACAACAACAAACCTCTTCTGTTATGAATGATTTCGGGGCCCTTCTGATATGCTGTAACAATAAATTAAATAATTAGACCTTCAAAATAGGAGACAATTTTAAAGCAATGGTTAAAATACAACAACAACAAGCCTCTTCTGTTATGAATGATTTCAGGGCCCTTCTGATATGGTGTCTCAATGATCCTCATTTTTACTGGGAAACAAAAATGACTTATTTTTATTTTTCACCTCACGGCCAATCTGCACTGAATCCTTGCAATAAATAATTACTTTAACCTTTTATAAATATATACTGCATAGTGGGTGTTATATTTTTGTAATTTGCAGATTGAGCCACAGAGTTTGAAGACTGGTGGCGCATGGTCTTTAAGTTGCAAGCTTTTTTCAAAAGTCTCTAGGCCTTATGAGAGCTGTCTATTTTGTTGATTAATACTAAGGTCTGATCAACCTCTCTCTGAAGACTATGGCTTAAAGCTCTATGGGTGGGTTCCTGGAAAATCAAAAATACAACTTAACTATCTCTAAAAGCACTGTTGCTTAAAACTCTATAGGGTACTTCCTGGAAAATCAAAATGGGTTTTAACAGAGAGAGAGATTCTAGAAAAAGGTCTTGGGTATAAAAATGTGGAAAACATTTTTTACTTTGAATTGTATTAAGGCAATTTTACTAAAATGTGGAGATTTTGTACTGTTCAACTTATTGCTCCTTTCTATTTCAAGCCTACTTACTAAATCTGTGTTCAAACGTCTGAAATCTTTAATGCATTCCTATGGGGCAAAAACTCACCGTTCATTGGGTGGCAGGCGAGTGAGGTCCCGGAGGCAGCCGCCGGGGGCGGGAAGGGGCGGGCCATCCACCCGGAGCTCGCTCGCCAGCCAGCTAGCCAGCCTGGGAGACACCGGGCGTTCTTAGGCAGCGGGCAAGCAAGGGCTCGGGAGGAGGGCCACCAGAACACCCGGGCCTTGCCCTGCCTCCCGGCTTTCCCCGAGCCACCCCTCACCCCCATCTCTGCCGCCCCCACCGGTCAGCTGGGGGAAGGTACGGGAAAGGGATGGCTCCCCCCTATCCTCCCGAAGCCGGCATTTTTGAACAGCTCCGGAGGATAGGGAGGGGAATCCTTTCCCCCATCCCCCCGAAGCTGGCATTTTCGCTAAGCTCCGGAGGATGGGGAGGGGAATCCCTTCCCCCCATCCTCCCGAAGCCGGCATTTTCGCACAGCTCCGGAGGATGGGGAGGGGAAGCCTTTCCCCCCCTCCTCCTGAAGCCGGCATTTTTGCCGAGCTCCGGAGGATGGGGAGGGGAAGCACTTCCCCCCATCCTCCCGAACCTGGCATTTTCGCACAGCTTGGGGGGATGGGGAGGGGAATCCCTTCCCCCCCGTCCTCCTGAAGCCAGCATTTTTGCACAGCTCCGGAGGATGGGGAGGGGAAGCCCTTCACCCCATCCTCCCGAAGCTGGCATTTTTGCCCATCTTGAGAATATGGGGGGGCAATCCCTTCCCCCCACCATCCTCCCGAAGCCCGCATTTTTGCCCAGCTGATCGGCAGGGCTTCGGGATGGTGGGGGGAGAGCGCTTCCCTGCGATCATCCCGAAGCCCTGCTGACCAGCTGCGCGAAAATGGGGTGTATGGGGAAAAATTGCAAAGCAGTTTTTCCCCATTGAAAACATCGTTATGCGATCGCTTTTGCTATTGCAAAATCTTTATCAGTATGCGAATTAGTAGTTAAATGGGGCATCCGTTAAGCGAGGCACCACTGTATTTTATCCTTTTATAAATGTATACTGCGGAGTGGGTGTTTTATTTTTGTAATTTTCAGAAGGAGCCACAGCTTGAAGATTGGTTAAGGTGATGATGTAGAAATATTACTTGGTAAATCTTCAATATCATTGAGCACCCATCAGTGTGCAAATACAACTTAACACTTAGCACTGACGCTTTTGATAGTGGCACTAGAAGGCATAATTATTTAATTTATTGTGACTGTCTACAACAGCGGCCACAAATAAATTTGATGGAATATTCTCAAGATCCTTCTCATCACCCCACATCAAGGTGCAGGCCAGCTTTCTTGTGCTTTTCGGCGTCTGCTTTGGCTTTGCGGTAAATAGGAATAGGGCTTCTGCAGACCTGCATTTTCTTCTTAGATTTTCTGGGTCTTC